CCCCAAAACCCCAAAACCCCAAAACCCCAAAACCCCAAAACCCCGGGGCAAGTCCAGCTCACTGAAAATACTTATATGAATTAATAAATCTAACATTTTTATCCAAAAGCTTAGGCAGCAAAGATTATTTTTTAATTCTTGGAAGTTTAAATCTATTTGGATCCTTCTCTACTTCTTCTTTAAGACCTTTGTTTAATTTGTACTTGGTCATTTTCTTACCAGTCCTCATCTTATTGCTTTCATCTTCATACAAACCTACATTTTCTCTTTTCTAAAGATGTTCCTAGACACAATACCTGGTCGGATCTACAGATAATTCAACCAGCTTACTTTAAACGGTCTTTGGTCATGTTGTGAATATTCTCAACATTCTAAAATTTATGCTAATTCTCTTACACTTTTTCTTGGAGCCCTCTGATGTTCATCTGGTTCTCTATAAAACATAATAGCCTTGTGTAAGAAGCAAGTTTTCCCTTTGGGGGGATCAGAGCCTATCGTGGCATATTTATGTTTAGTTTGACAGTTAGGTTGGCTTACACTGAAAGGGAAGTCCTACGGTGGCATAATTTGATCATTTCTCAGAATAAAGAACACTAGAAGTTATGAGGGATTTACTAGTTGCAAGAAGACTATAAGAACTGTGTTGAGCATTATCAGGAAGATAACAACTTCTCTCATCGTAACATCATTATCTACACCATAATCTTAAAACCTACCTTCACTCCAGTCAGAATGTGTATTCCACAGGAAGAAGATCGCAAGGAAGATCATCAGGATGAACTCAGTCGCTATTTCTCCAAACGTGAGCCACCCGCTTTTAAATTTCCTGATCCCAGTGCACTGAATCCAATAAATGAACTAGAATGTATTGTTAGAGGATAGTGAAGGAGGTTGGGAAGTAGGAGGTACTTTTGAGGGGTAGGATTGTTGATTAAGGTCAGTGATATCTTGAGGTGTTAAGATATTTAGGTCTTGGAGATATGGAGATAGTTGTATCTTCGAAATTTGTACAAAGCAATATCTTATATGAAAACTTATGCACCCAAACGATGCCACTTTACCCTGCTCGAAAGCAAGAGGATAATATCCTCTCAATTTAGAAGAAAATTGAAACATGAGTTCATGAAATTTCAGATGAATTAAAATTGGCTTACCTGAAGAAAGAACAAGATTCCAAATATAATCCCTGACTTGAGACCCGGAATAAATACTACCACTCAGAAGACGAATTTTCTGAATATAAGCAGAAAATGGTAAATTCTATTTATTCCTGATTTAACTCCATCAAATAGCACTATGTGAAGTTAGAAGGAAGGTATAATAATTTAGAAAGAATATAAAGGCTATTACCATCAAATAAAGGTTTAGGAACTTCCTCATCCTCAAGATCAGTGTTGAAATGCTTGATGAAATAAAAGAGGCAAAACAGTATAAATGCCACACAGATAAATAGTAGAGCCATTGATATGTAGCATGATGTCTTATATGCAGGAGTCGAGGTGTCATAGTTCTTCAAAAGCTCATTGAGAGCAGTAACAGATACGATAAACAGAGACTCAAGAAATACTCTGACATAGAGGTTAAAGAAAAACCTGAAAGGAAGATGCTCTTTCATTTTTGACCATAGCGTTGACTTTCTGCATCACCATCCTCAGCTCTTACACAAACATTTTCAAAAGCATATACAACATGGGTTTAAAGAACTTTCTCATCCTTCATCCTCATCTTCATGAGCTTCCTTATCTATTAAAAGGATTAGGCATTAAATAGTACCATTTTCCTGATTTTTGTTCTCTTCTCTTTTCTCAACCCGACGCTTCTCTTTCATTTTCCTCTTTGCTAATCTGCAGCATCTACACCCTCACCCACAGGAGAGCCAGATTACGATAAGAAATAGTTGACAAATGACACAGATGATGAGGAAGATTCCAATTTCTATATTTGATTGGGCGGCTGATAGACTTTCATATTCTATTTCAATCAGCCCTTGCAAATTTTGAGGTCTCTCCATTTTCTTGAGCTCTGCAGAAATTCCTACATAATCAGATAAGTCTTTGAGAGAGATTCCTTTGAAGCTGAATATTATAAATTCAGTTCTAGTGATGTAGAACCTCACATCAGAGTGGATCTGTGTATCAATCATCATCATTAGAATCAATAGTTGTTGCTGATTTATGATCATCCAGAGACCGTTGAAGCTTGGATTAGGGGATAATAATGAAAAACTGCCTATTATTAAAGAAACTCCAAATGCTCCCAGTAAAACCTCCTCCTGAGTATCGAGCTGATGCTTCAAAATATGCGTCTATACATAGTTCTAAGTATTTACCTCTTCGATGGCGATAGGGATGTTTATAGGTTGTCTCATAGATGTAGACTCAACTCCTAAAAATAAAATTACTCTGAAATACTCAGATTTGCTGTAAAATCTAAATAGATTACTTAGGATACTTACTTCTATCTAGCAGACTGTTGTCGGTGGAGTTAATGATTAAAAAGCCTGATTTGAAGTCAACAAAGAGAATTTTATTCACTTCCTCGCTTGATTGGTTTGTAAGGGAGAAAGTAAAATCCATTTCACCACTAGATATTAGTAAATATACTTGCCTAACACTTCATACAGTGTCAATATTGAGATCTCCTGATTGACCTTTGCTTATGTTCTGATAAATTGAGTCTGTAGATTGTACATACTATTTAAGTGTCAGATTCCAAAAGGAGCTTAGCTATCACCCCACATTAAACAATTGTCCCTAATATCTCATCTTTCCGTACCAGTGAGATAAGAAGCACAAATTTTTTTATCCAAAAACCCAACAATATATCTAAGAAAATCAATTACATCATTTTTGTATATTTCTGAACCTGAATAAACAGTGATGGAACCCCCAAGAGTAGGCTCAGCTCCTGAGCTTCCATAAGTATAAGATCCTGACGAAAATGGAAAAAAATTATCACCAGTTGTTCTCTGCCAAAGAGCTGAATCTGGAGGATTTTCAACATACTATAGGAATTATTTTAATTCTTACTGATATCCCTAGAGCTTGGTTTTCCCAATCTAAACTTCTGTCTAGCACATCTATCAAAGAGTTATAATTTTCCAATACCAAGGTTTGAGATTATCATTACTCATTTACTGCTGTAAGTTCCCAGAAATATCATCCTAAACATATTTTATATGGAAGTATTGACTCTCAAGATGATCAATTAAATAATTTTTTTTAGTTATTTTCCAATTAGATTTTTAGAAGATTTTTATACAAGAAATGCGTTCTTACTCGCTTCCAATGATCATTTCATCGATATTTCCTCCATTATTTACAAAGGAACTTGTTGTAACGTATGCTGAATTACATGTTTTCTATATTTTATGGTAATATTTCAAAAATTCACTTTAATGACAAGTGGAATGCAAATAATAGAAAAATCATTACCTTCACATAGTCTCCAAGACATTCATGGAACTGATCAAATGGATCTCCTCCTACTGTTTCGTTATAAATGGAGAGAATATTCTTTGTTTCTCCAGTAGAGAATCTTTTAGAAAACAACAAATACACAATATTGTCTTTTATCCTCATACTATTTACTCCAGCACTATCACCCCCAGTTGAGGCATAGACTGTTGGATCAGTCGAAGGAGTTTGCATGTCAACCTTGTTGAACAAAAAGTAACGCTTATTTCCACCATCAACAATGTAATCCAACAACACAAATCCATATCTGTCATTATCTGGGTTCATCACAAGATGAGAATTCTCAAAGTCATTGCTTCAGACAGCCTCAGGACAATCATATAAAAAGTATCTGTTGATTAAAAATGAACCAGAAGCCACATTCATAATCGAGAGATACAGATTTTGACTTATTTCATGATGTATCTAAGTTTATTAACACCAAAATAAATTGCAGAAAGATGACTTACCAATAGCTTATTCTCTGCACTGCTGTGAGCAATCTTTCCAATATCTCTTAAATTTGTAAAGGTAGCATAAGATCCACTAGAAGAACCAGCATTCTTAATCCATAAATGAGGTGAATCAGCAGGAATGGCGTTGGATATAGAATATAATACAGGAGGATTAGCTTTATTCGATGTTATTCCTGTATAATATGTATTCCTCACTCCGTTATATCTATACATAAAATATATAAGAACGATTTTTCCATATCCTCACTGCTTATATTTAACTTACAAATTGTATTTCCTGTCAATAACTCCTGTGTTTGCATTAATCTCAAGAATAACGTGATCTACTAAGTGTTCAGCGGCAAAGATATAGCTTTCATCTGAGGCTAGAGAAGTGTACCATTTTCTTGTGTGAGTAAGAATCCAAGTTAAAGTCAGTGTTTCAACTTCAAGGCGGAGTAAGAAGTACTCCGAATCACTTGCTCCGATCCCACTCAAATAAACTGCACCGTTTTGCCCATAATGTGCTTCTTTAATATTTCACTCACTAATACCATCAATCGTGAAGGTCCTTCTCCAATTCCTATTAACACTCTTCCCTCCTGTACAAGTAGCACCAAGGTTCCTATAAATCAAAAAGTCCCTCCCAATCCCTCAAAATTTCCTACCTAGACTCTTCTCCAATCGCGCTCACCCAAGCCCCTATCATAATAACCCCCAGCACCACTTTCTTCCACACACATCCCTTCCTGCCAGCCTCTGTTCCCAAAATCCTAAAATTTTCAAACATCTTGGCTCCTCTGGTACCTAAATATTATAATTTCAGGAATAAAATTTATTTTGGGGTTTTGGGGTTTTGGGGTTTTGGGG